GCGTTAATTAAAAGACGAAATTTCAATACTCTTAGCTCCCAGGGAGAGCAAACGGAAGCATGACAAAGAACAACAAAGGCAGTGCGGGGGCCTCGTGAATGGACTAATTAAAGTCGGATATTTGACAGACGGTAATCATCAGTCGTTTTTGTACAGCAACTTTTGGTCTTTAGATTTAGGTTCACCCGTGCACATGTCCATCAGAATATTTCCTTGAAAATGTGACCAACTGGAAAGTTTTCGCCAAAAGTTGAAAATTTTGCTTGCTAGGGAGGAGGGCTGGGAAGCGATAAACATCTCGAAGAAAAGTTTGCGGAGTTCAGTGAAATAATTCATCTGACAAGGTGTTAATGGAATAGACAGATTTGGGGAGCAGCCACACCCGAGCAGGAACGAATATCTTGATACCTTAAAGTGGTGTCATGACCAACGTAGTCATCTCAGAGAGAAAGCAGTAGGGTGGTTGTTGCGTGCTGTACCATCATCAGCATTGTTGACGGTTACTCCCGCCTTGAGTAGGTAGTGATGAAACGTTGCTGGAACTATTCCACAGCCGCAGACAGTATATGAGCAAGTCAAACGCGCACTTTTTTGCCTGTGGAATTGAAGAACTACTTCAAATCTCCTCATATATTGTATGAGCTAGGTAAAAAAGTATGCGTTTGACTAGTACTGTCACATTAATGGCTCTTGGTTCATTTTCAACTTCTATTCAATTTTCATACTGCCGAACTCTAGCGGAACTATCTACCTATCCTCTTCTAAGACCATTCTCTAGCTAATAAATTATCACACTAAAGCTTCATGTTAGATAGCATTTTCAACCAGCTCTGAAAATCGTAAACTTCACGTATGAAATAACATAAAAACACTTTGAATGTTCGCAAGTAGCAAATTGCGCCAGGTTGATCTTGTCAAAAACTCTGAGCCAGAAATGCATGACTCTCATTCAGTTTGTTTACAATCTTGTTTCACCAGAGTATGTTTTATCGGATTTGTAACACAACTGAGCCATCAATGCTGTGTTGGTTTTTAGAATTTCTCCACTAACCCTTTTTGGTTTCTGCCGTTGAGCATACAATTAATAATGTGTTACGAAAAATGATGATTCATTTCTATAAGACGACAATGTATGGCGATAGATAAGAATACAGTCAGGAATCCTTATTGCCGGATTCCTTATTGCCGGGCTATCCGCGAATAAGGATACCCACATCTTATGGGATTTTCACTAATGGGGGCTGTAGTGGATTATCTCATTTGTTTCAATACATAAAGCTTTACTGTCTTCGACAAAGTTGCTGTACTGGGTTAGAACAACAAGCCTGTTCCATTGTGTCAACAAGCGATGTCAGAAGCCATTTTGGAATCCAAGATGGTTGCCATCGGTTCAAGAAAAACTGTCAAATACGCTACAATATGGATATTTTTGGAAGGATACGACGTGTAGAGGCCGGAAATCGATGCCAGACGACATTTTGGGATCCAAGATGGCGGCAATCGGTTCAATAAAACCCAAATAAACCCTCTACCCTCTAAAAGTAAAGTAAAAGTAAAGTAAAAGTAAAGTAAAAGTAAAGTAAAAGTAAAGTAAAAGTAAAGTAAAAGTAAAGTAAAAGTAAAGTAAAAGTAAAGTAAAAGTAAAGTAAAAGTAAAGTAAAAGTAAAGTAAAAGTAAAGTAAAAGTAAAGTAAAAGTAAAGTAAAAGTAAAGTAAAAGTAAAGTAAAAGTAAAGTAAAAGTAAAGTAAAAGTAAAGTAAAAGTAAAGTAAAAGTAAAGTAAAAGTAAAGTAAAAGTAAAGTAAAAGTAAAGTAAAAGTAAAGTAAAAGTAAAGTAAAAGTAAAGTAAAAGTAAAGTAAAAGTAAAGTAAAAGTAAAGTAAAAGTAAAGTAAAAGTAAAGTAAAAGTAAAGTAAAAGTAAAGTAAAAGTAAAGTAAAAGTAAAGTAAAAGTAAAGTAAAAGTAAAGTAAAAGTAAAGTAAAAGTAAAGTAAAAGTAAAGTAAAAGTAAAGTAAAAGTAAAGTAAAAGTAAAGTAAAAGTAAAGTAAAAGTAAAGTAAAAGTAAAGTAAAAGTAAAGTAAAAGTAAAGTAAAAGTAAAGTAAAAGTAAAGTAAAAGTAAAGTAAAAGTAAAGTAAAAGTAAAGTAAAAGTAAAGTAAAAGTAAAGTAAAAGTAAAGTAAAAGTAAAGTAAAAGTAAAGTAAAAGTAAAGTAAAAGTAAAGTAAAAGTAAAGTAAAAGTAAAGTAAAAGTAAAGTAAAAGTAAAGTAAAAGTAAAGTAAAAGTAAAAGTAAAGTAAAAGTAAAGTAAAAGTAAAGTAAAAGTAAAGTAAAAGTAAAGTAAAAGTAAAGTAAAAGTAAAGTAAAAGTAAAGTAAAAGTAAAGTAAAAGTAAAGTAAAAGTAAAGTAAAAGTAAAGTAAAAGTAAAGTAAAAGTAAAGTAAAAGTAAAGTAAAAGTAAAGTAAAAGTAAAGTAAAAGTAAAGTAAAAGTAAAGTAAAAGTAAAGTAAAAGTAAAGTAAAAGTAAAGTAAAAGTAAAGTAAAAGTAAAGTAAAAGTAAAGTAAAAGTAAAGTAAAAGTAAAGTAAAAGTAAAGTAAAAGTAAAGTAAAAGTAAAGTAAAAGTAAAGTAAAAGTAAAGTAAAAGTAAAAGTAAAGTAAAAGTAAATTAAAAGTAAAGTAAAAGTAAAGTAAAAGTAAAGTAAAAGTAAAGTAAAAGTAAAGTAAAAGTAAAGTAAAAGTAAAGTAAAAGTAAAGTAAAAGTAAAGTAAAAGTAAAGTAAAAGTAAAGTAAAAGTAAAGTAAAAGTAAAGTAAAAGTAAAGTAAAAGTAAAGTAAAAGTAAAGTAAAAGTAAAGTAAAAGTAAAGTAAAAGTAAAGTAAAAGTAAAGTAAAAGTAAAGTAAAAGTAAAGTAAAAGTAAAGTAAAAGTAAAGAAAGTAAAGTAAAAGTAAAGTAAAAGTAAAGTAAAAGTAAAGTAAAAGTAAAGTAAAAGTAAAGTAAAAGTAAAGTAAAAGTAAAGTAAAAGTAAAGTAAAAGTAAAGTAAAAGTAAAGTAAAAGTAAAGTAAAAGTAAAGTAAAAGTAAAGTAAAAGTAAAGTAAAAGTAAAGTAAAAGTAAAGTAAAAGTAAAGTAAAAGTGAAGTAAAAGTAAAGTAAAAGTAAAGTAAAAGTAAAGTAAAAGTAAAGTAAAAGTAAAGTAAAAGTAAAGTAAAAGTAAAGTAAAAGTAAAGTAAAAGTAAAGTAAAAGTAAAGTAAAAGTAAAGTAAAAGTAAAGTAAAAGTAAAGTAAAAGTAAAGTAAAAGTAAAGTAAAAGTAAAGTAAAAGTAAAGTAAAAGTAAAGTAAAAGTAAAGTAAAAGTAAAGTAAAAGTAAAGTAAAAGTAAAGTAAAAGTAAAGTAAAAGTAAAGTAAAAGTAAAGTAAAAGTAAAGTAAAAGTAAAGTAAAAGTAAAGTAAAAGTAAAGTAAAAGTAAAGTAAAAGTAAAGTAAAAGTAAAGTAAAAGTAAAGTAAAAGTAAAGTAAAAGTAAAGTAAAAGTAATGTAAAAGTAAAGTAAAAGTAAAGTAAAGGTAAAGTAAAAGTTATGTAAAAGTAAAGTAAAAGTAAAGTAAAAGTAAAGTAAAAGTAAAGTAAAAGTAAAGTAAAAGTAAAGTAAAAGTAAAGTAAAAGTAAAGTAAAAGTAAAGTAAAAGTAAAGTAAAAGTAAAGTAAAAGTAAAGTAAAAGTAAAGTAAAAGTAAAGTAAAAGTAAAGTAAAAGTAAAGTAAAAGTAAAGTAAAAGTTAAGTAAAAGTTAAGTAAAAGTAAAGTAAAAGTAAAGTAAAAGTAAAGTAAAAGTAAAGTAAAAGTAAAGTAAAAGTAAAGTAAATGTTAAGTAAAAGTAAAGTAAAAGTAAGGTAAAAGTGAAGTAAAAGTAAAATTTACTCCATGTATTAGCAAAATTTACTAACATCCAATTAGTATGGTGCAATAGTATGGGCATCAGTTACGACTAATATAGAAGCATTTGCATTCAAATCAGTTTTGTCGTCTCAGAGAATTGTGAATAAGAAAAGTAGCAAAGCTATTTCCTTATTGATATTGATGATACATATTTATGGGTTTATAGCGGTTCACAAATAAATCAAGTTTAAACTGCACTATTGATTCAGCAAGCACGGTTGTTATTTTATAATCCGACTTCTGCTGTTCCGAAATTAATCATGTTTTGTTGTTTTTGACATCATCCACATCCAGAGAGCCAGTCACTTCAAATGTATGGGAATGTTAGGAAACCATTTGGAAGTGCATGAAAGTTTTCAGTTTTTATTCATTATCGTCTTTATGGGCAGTTTTAGATGCACAAAATTTGCATGAGTACATTACTATGGTGATAAGGTAAACACTCGTTTATTTGTTTTCTTCTGTGAAAGCATGTTTAGTCACAAATCATGGATTTTCTGATATTCTCCATACTGCAAAAATGATTTTCCTACCACTGAAGGGGCGACATCTCTCGGATCTTCAGTACAGCTACTACTCAAATCATATAATCAATTCTGCCTTTCCGTGTATTAACCAGCCACTTAACATTCTGTATGATCGTTCATAGCTTCAATCCAATAATTAGCATCGAACTCCTTACCAAAAACATATGTAGACTTACATTTCAAACCAAACAGGCATCTTCTCCGTGATTCAAAGTAAGTGAATGACTAACCTCCTCTAACTGATTCAATCGCTTATCCGTAAATTAGGGCTTATATTTCTATGATCGATAACATTATCTTGACCAAAAAGTCACATTTCGTCAACGCACCATAATCCTACTTCCAAAATCATCGATTGAAATCATTTTACAATCTTCTTTTATCGATCCAAGCTATGCTACCACGCTTATCGGCGATATCAAAATTTGTCATAAGTAATAAACCGAAACGCAATCACCACAACCGTTTCCATAAAAGCCCACATATTTGTGATCAACCATCAGTATCGGATCGCCAGCCGTTGCTTACACATTCTCACGGAAAAAAAAATGCACGCTCAACTGCTCCGGGTAGCATCGTGTGCCATCGCACTGTCACTTTTGGCCATGATCCAAGCCCAACGAGACTGCCTGGCTCCACCGCCACCAGCCGTAAGTATTGTAATCGATTGTAACCGTTGTTAATTTGACCATCGCACCCGTCCTTCGTTTTGCAGAGCCCTAAAATCTGCTGTCCTTGGATGGACGGTGGCACCACCTACAACGATACGATCTACATCGAATGTTGGGGACGGTTCGCCCAGTTTCCCATGGTACCAATCCCCGGCGGAGGCCTAGCCGGTGGTTCGGCCGGGTGTGTCTCCGAGTGTCTATTCAACTATTTGGATGTGTTCGACCACAATTCCAGCGATGATGGCAAATTGATTAATTTCTACGCATTGAACGAGCACGTCAAGGAGATCTCCGACCCGGACCGCTATCCGTTGATGTATCTGGCGATGCGGTACTGCATCGGAGAGGCCAACCGGAGGGCGACAGTATTCAGTGAAATCCAACAGCGGGACCCACCGGTCGTACCCGGGTTGGACAACTGTAATCCCATTTCGGGCTTCACCATGTCTTGTATGAACGCGTACACCATCCGGGTGGGTGTATTTGTGTAATTCAATTTGATGCCCTGTGGTTTTTCGTGTCATACCGTTTTGTGTACTGACAAGCTGACCGGGCCCAGCGGCAGCTGTTAATTAATGAGAAATGTTTCATTGCAGTTCTGCCCGGATTGGACCCCCAACGAGGAAGAAGGGTGCGACGATCTGTTGGATTTCTACACCCAGTGCCCACTGAATCCGTACTAGACGGATGCAGGAAAGAGCGGAGTTTGGGGAGACCGATAGGCTTCTAGATAATTGTGAGGCCTCCGGCTGATGTGGTTCATGATTGGCACACATTTCAGGTCTAATAAAATAACGTTCATTAATCATGTTTGAGTTTTTAATTTATTGATTGAACTCTAAAACAATGCATCAAAATGCTACAGTTGACAGTTAAATTGCAGTTGTCAAAACGTAGTGCAGCGCGACACCCCAAAATGACGGCAATATTAAAACCAAACCAATAAAAAAGCTTTTCAATTACAAACACTCAACAGAAAAGGCAGTGCCGAACATCGGACAGCCATCGCAAAAGCATGGAACTTGGCAAATAGCAGAAAATCTCTCCTTCGATTAAATATTAATAAAGATTTGCGATTTGTCGGATTTTTCCAAACACCGTCGTTCAGCAGTATCATCACCGGCGTGTCGGTGAGAATATACCAATCCTCTATCGATTGTGTGAGTGTGTGTCTGTGTGCTGATGCTGTCCTGTCGTTGCTTTCCTTTATACATTTTTAATGGTCCCATTCGGTGATGTTTTTATCGGAAACGATTTGTAATTGTCTATCTCTGCCTCTACTGTCTTGTTGACTTTCTCCATTCATGAGCCTTCTCGGAATACGGAGTTATTACCCCGAAGAAGACGGATCTCCGATGAGACCGAAGTGAAATACGTTCCTAGCCGTGATAGGTGGATTTTGAGGGGGGTCAGAACTGCTGGCGGCGTTGAAAGCCTTACTGACGTAAGCAAAGTTCCAGGGATTGATTTGTTAGTATACAGCTTCCAATCAATTTGTGATGCACCCCTTTTCGATAACCTTCGGTCCGAGGGTTACGTGGAGGCGGTGATGGAAACAAATATTTTGCCGAAAGGCATGATATTTGTGGGAGGATGAAGTTCGATGATTAAGTTTTGAGGTTATAATTGTAATTTATTTTTAAAATGTTTTTAGGTTACTTCATACGCGAAAAAAAATCTCAAATTTCAGAGTTGGTTGGAAATGCTATCTAACATGAAGTTTTAGTGTGAAAATTTATAAGCTAAAGAATGGACTTAGAAGATGGTAGGTAGATAGTTCCGTTAGAGTAGGTAGTATAACCATTTAATAGAAGTTGAAAATGAGCGAAGGGCCATGCGACAGTACAAAGTCAAACGCACACTTCTTTGCCTAACCCGTACGATGTACGCTGAGATTTGAAGTATAATGATGATGAGTTCCGACATGCCCATAGACCATTACTTCTCAGTTCGATTGAGGCTATTCGGGCGATGAAACAATATAGGCACACATCTTATTTCCTTTCAAAGGTAAGGGAGCAGATGAGTTTGCTGGTCGAAAGATCATATATGATTACCTTTGTATGGGTCCCCTCACATTGCTCAATCCCATGCAATGATAAGGCAGACTTTCTCGCAAAGGTGGGCGCACAACAAGGCCAGATTTATGATTGAAGAATTTTACATGATGAATTTTACCATTTAGTACGTCGGAGTTCTCTTTTAAGTTGGTAAAATGATTGGACAAGTAATTTTCTTAGACGGTGATTAATTTCCATTATTCCAAATGTTTCTTCGAGATCGTGGTTCAATGGTCTGGATGTAAGTCGGGGCTTCATTAAATGTCAAGACTTATGTCTAACCAATACTCGCTAGCCGCACATCTCTACAGAATAAACCTCGTTAACAGCAATACATGTAGGTGCAGAACCGGTTATGATGACATCGATCACGCAGTTTGGTATTGCCCGGGTACTGACGCCTCTAGAGCACGACTGTTGGATACCCTCCGTGATCTTCCCTATATGCAGGCGATCTACGAATTACTTTGTTTGTCTAATGTTAGTGTTTGATGTGACCATCCCCTCCTTTCCAAACAATTTCCAGCCACTTTATCCCAGTCTTATTATCCTTCTGTTTCTGTGCTACTTGCCCCTGCCCAGCCAGGATTTGGTCAACCGTCCGAGAGTAGTATATGAAGGAGGCTTCAAAAACCAGTTTCCTACCTAGCTCCTTCCAATCGAAATTGTTACCCATTAACCTCGAGCCCGGAAAGAGTAATTGGTACCCAATACTAACCTAAAATTACTGCTGTTTAAAACGTAAATACAAACATTACTGATTTTTGGCTCCGTAAAGTGTCACATACGACTGAGCCTAGTAAATATACGAACTAGTAAAAAAAATACAGATCATTCTGATTAGATCCTTTCCAGTTGTTTGTTTAAACATAATTTAATATTTACCAAAATACCGTCTCGAGCTCGGCTTGATGGCTGTTCCTTTTGCTTACTGAATAGAAGATCGTCCGTTTAAGACGTGTTTATTGGAAATGCATATCAAATCCTTTATAAGAGCAGTTATTGTCGTCGTCTATGAGGTCATCTTTGGGACCGAAATCTAGTTACAGCAAGTTGAACGCGAACTTGATCGTAATTATTTTTTGTGATATAAGGAGCTCGGTGGCCTAGTGGTGACCGATTTTGCTTATTGACAAATATATCATGATCCATTCATGCCTTCTCCAAATGTTACAATGGCGACCCGCAAAATATTACTTCACACCCCATCTAGCGTTGAAAAAGGTCAGCAACAATCATTCAATTACAATCGAGGGGTGCGAATATATCACTTATTACAAAAGAAAGAGTCAAATTATTTTCATTAATTACATTGTGTATATTATTTTAAAATGTGTCTCACATGTCACTGTTGTCACCAAACAAAATAAAATGCTGAAATACATTCATTTGAAATATTAAACAAATTTTCATTTCGTTTACCCCTCGTGACGATAAATAAATACATTGGTAGACTTTTTGTCCAAATTTCAATAAAAATAAAATTTCGGTTCGCCAGCTAAGCGAAAGAGGGAATCATATTGTTAATATATCTCAAGCTCCTTCACATTATAGAGTAAACAAGTACGTAAAAGAAATAATATTCAAGTTTTAGGAAAGCCGTGTCGATAGCAATCTATAAAAAAAATCCTTCTCAAGAGAAGTTTTTATCGTAATTGCACACACTAAGATTATTTTACAGATTTCTGTAAAATTTTACCGAAATCTCAACAGCTGAACGTTCGGTAAACAATTTTACAGTTTTCCTGTAATTATTTACAGGTATCTGTGATAAATTCACAGATATTTGTGAAAAATTACAGGAAATCTGCAAAACTGTTTACCGAACGTTCAGCTGTTGAGGTTTCGGTAAAATTTTACAGATTTCTGTAAAAATTTCTAAGTGTGCAGGAACTTTATCAAGAGCTTGGCCGTAATTGGCGACCGATTTTGCTTGCTGAGCAGAAAATGATGTGTTCAATCCCAAGCTCCTTCAAATTATGAGTTAAATTTTAAATCGGCTCTCCTTCAAAATACGATGTAAAGCGTAAAGAAATTCGGTTGGAGGGCGGGTACGTAAATTAAGTCATATTTGAGTTTTATGAAAGATGTTGTCATCGTTGTGGGTGAGGTTGCCGCCGAGATAAGGAGCTGGGTGACCTAGTGGCGACCAATTTTGCTTACTGAACAAAAGACCGTGGGCTCAATTCCACGTTGATTCGCGCTATTGAATCGTTTGTACATTTTGCATTTTGTCCCATTGTTGGGGTGCATTGTAGTGCATTTTACCCGCACATGGCTGTATTTTGCACCGATTAGAGGCATTTTCAAAGTTTTCATGCATGTTGCAAATATAAACAACTAAATAACGCTTCAGAGAATTTATGCAATTCATGATATTCATAGTTGCTTTATGTTTTAACGGAAAAAAAACCTTGATTTCCTTAACGGGTGCATATTAACCCAGGAACCCCCACCAAACTTTCGAGTTGCGGCTCGACCAAGACCTACGCCTTCTAATGAACCACACTCAAAACTGTGTACATGTTAAATGTGTTGGTTCGAATGCAACTTAGGACGAGATGGACTGGAGGTGATCAAAAATAAATACAAATGGCGACTTCAGATGGACGATGTGGTGTAGACATTAAACTTCACAACCTGTCTGAAAATGTGACGAAAGACGAAATAGTTGCTGCCTTGAAGCAGTTCGGCGATGCATTGAGCACGAAGGAGCTAACCTGGAGCGAAAATTGTGTCGTCCAAGGGACTTCTTCAGGAGTTTGGGCTATCAAGATGGACTTGCGACGACACATCAAATCTTTCATCGACATACAAGGCGAACAAACACTGGTGACTTATCGCAACCAGCCTCGAACCTGCCAACATTGCATGAATCTGTCACATCCAGGCAGTACATGCGACGAAAAAAATTGGTGCGAAAGGTTGACCTCGAAAGCCGCCTGAAACGAGCGCAAGCAGGCCCAGGTTCAAGCATACAATGCGCAAATACTGGCTCACCATAGCTGCGTTAAACAATGTAGCTCATCTGGCTCCAACACCTCCGTTCGTGCGGTTCTTACCCACGAACGAGCCATATACATTAGCACTAGCGTGCACAGGAATCTTGTTAAGGAGGGGCATTTTATTTCTGGGGATTAAATGATGGGAGATGGTTCTGTCCACCCACCACTATTTCCCTACTGTTTAATTTAGCTAATTTTATTTATTTTTTGCTCCGGTGGTGGTTCATCTTCTTCAATGCAAACTGCGGAAATTGACAATTTAACAGACAATGATGCCGAACATTCAACATGTTTTAAAGATGATATAAAAGACAATCCCGAATTTATTGCAACGCTCATAAACAGCTGTAACTTTTTAACAACGGTAACAAATGACTTGAAATTTTCAGAGAAGATTCTTAGACGATTTTTTAGTAAGACAACAATAGACCAAGGTTCAATGGAAAACTAATACCCACTGTTCAATTAGGGAATCCAAAAGTCTTTAAACTTTGTACAGTTGCGAAAAAGTCCATCCTCAGAATTTCTTGAGGTTCTTTTCGAAATTTTTAGCACTCTATGAGCTCCTTTGAAATTCTTCTCAGAAGTCTTCTGGAATTATTTTTAGAACTCTTCTTGAC